AAGTTCAAAGTACTGTGAATCTGGTCAAAAATCTATGGTGAGGAAGTTCATACATCTCATTAATGAACCTACTCTGATTGTTCAGTTGAATAGACATGGTATCAGACAGATTTATAAATTCATCTTTAGACACATAGTTTAGCACAGCTTTTAGTTTGTTTGTGCATTTGACAGCAATTAATTCTGCAACTCACAACTGGTGAGTGTGCAGAGAATAAAGCGTCAGTGATAACGTGTCAACCGTAAATGGGGCATCTATATCATACATCTTCATCTTAAGGTTCAGGGAGCATTATGGTAGAGTTGATGGAAAGATAGTAAGGTCAGGGAGAATCATACTGAAACAATGCCTTTTGAATATGACAATAGCTCCACACATATTAAGTCTCAGCAGCTGGGGTTACCTGTGTTATACTTGTACAAGATAAAGCCAGTCAATATTCTAGCATGGTTAGAAAAGTGCTCACATGGCTGGCCCCTCACTTATGAGCTTTTGAGTAGTATAGACTGGACTGCATGGGTTAAAAAATAGACAGAAAATTGAGAAGGATGAGGTTGTATCAGAGAAGAGCTACAGTTAATCTGATGAAAATACAGTGTATGAAAATCGCAATAAAAGCAAAACAACAACAAAAAACAACTGAATGTTTCTATACAGAGGACTGTGGATTCAGCTCGGTAGTAGAGTATTTGCCTAGAATTGAGATCTAATCCTCAGCATAGCAAAATAATGCCCTTGTAGAAAACAAATACCGTGGCATATGCTTTTAGTCATAGCTACTAGGTGGCAGGGGGCTGATGGACCATTTGACCCAGTAGTACTATGTAATCTTTCTCTGTCATCAATATACAGGCAACTCTTTGAGTGCATTACTGTCTATAGGATTCTTAACAATTAAGAAGTGAAGTACACCTGAGGCAATAGAGAAATCTTGAATAGTAACCAGGTAATTTCATGGCAGGATACCTAGACATCATTCATTCCAGAATAGCTAATGTAGCAGGCCATGCCATGGTACAATATTTCATGTATAGAGTCATGACAAATTATACTTATAAATATGATTATGAATTTGGGGTTATAGTGCCCTGTCTTGGCTACAAATCAACAATTCTTTTTGTAACTATAAATCATTTTATCTTATGGCACTACGATGACCCAGTCTAGGTTTTGATACTAGCTAGTGAGATTCTGCTGTAATCAATACTTAAAAGATGGAGCTGACATTGAATAGAGGTTGAAAAAATTTTGAAAATATGATAGACAATGTATTAATTTCTTGATGAGATTGTTGGTAGAAAGCTGGATATTTCTGAAACATCGTAATGAGAGCACCTATCAATTTAACCAACAAATAGTGCACTTCAACTTATGAGGCTTTTAAGGCACTTTAGGATGAAATTTATTCGAAGTGATTATCTGTTCTGAGTCTACCACCACTCATGCACAGAATGATTATAATCAGCCTCCATAGATGGAAAGATGCTCTCATTAAATATTCACCCTCTCCACATATTCACTTGAGAAATGAATGCTTGAAAACATGTACCTGAGCCCTCTTGAGGTACACTGTTGGAAGAGAACTTGTTTTTCTTTCACAGAATTGCATTTATCATGAAGAAACTAAGATTTTCCACATTTGATTCTAGGCTCTACACAGTGTATGGGTTAGCTATACATACTCCCTGTGGTAATGTGAAGTCAGTTGCTATGCCATAGAACATTGTTTTTCCAAACTACAGCCACCACCCACTTCAGGACATTTCTCAGAGCCAGTTTAAAACCAAGCAAGTGTATACTACAGTGGGATTCTAGAACTGACAAAAAGTTTGAGGGCCACTTCTCCACTGTGGTTCTTAAGGTGCTCTGTGAAAATAAGGCTTGATTGTCTGCCTTGAATATTCTAAATTTTTAAAGTTACACAGAACTCCTTATATTGGTGATTCTGCAGCATGCAATGGACTCAAACATACCTTTAATTCAAAGAAAAGGAAGAGTGCAGCAGCTTCAGTACAACAAAAGGACTAGATAGAATTTCAAACTCTTGGCCCCACTATAAATTAGGACCACTGGAAGTAAGCCCCAGCAATCTAGTACTTCTGATCCTCCCAGATGAACCTGATTAGTGTGAAAATCCTAGAAGCAACAGTATTTTCAGTCTTTTGTTTCATGATAGAGTCATTTTATGTTTTTACTTTCATAAAGGATGTGGTAGGACCAATATTTTTGCCATAAAGAATATGTACATAAACACACACACATGCAGTAAAGCATGGACAATCGCAGCTACTTATAGAGGGTTCTGAATTCTTTGAATTCTTTGTTGACTTGTTTTAATAAATGAAAACTGTTCAAAGAATTTCAAGCAGACACAGGTGAATTACAGTGAATTCCTGGCCATCCTGGTCTATGCCAGATATGGCTACGTAGTGAGACTTTGCTCGAACAAAACAAAATAAAATGAAAAGCAAGGTAGCTTAAAGAGAACTCTTCTTTGTTACTGACCATTTTGACTCTTTTTGTACTTGAAGGGCTTCCCTGACACAAAAAAGTGCTGATATGTTCACGACCAGTGACTTACCATTTTCCTGAACAATAGAAAAATAAGATCAGCAACCCAAACAGCCAAAAAACCAAATTAAGTTGCATGGCCAAAGGGAGATCAGCATAGGGAGTAAAGTGAATGTACTGGTGCTTATACAAGAGTCTTTGAATTCAAGACAGACAGGCGCCTTACCCCCTGCAGGTATGCTTCTGAGCTTTGACAGGATGAAGCAAGAGGAACAGGCCTTAAAATGAAGCCACAAAGTAACTGGGCTATCTGTTGTGGGATAATGCTCTTGTAACTGTAAAGATTTGTCACTAATATTGGTTTAATAAAACACTGATTGACCTGTAGCCAGGCAGGAAGTATAGGCCGGGCAAACAGACTAAGAGAATATTGGGAAGAGAAAAGGCAGAGATGCAGTCACCAGCCAGATGCAGAGGAAGCAAGATGAGAACGCCACTGACAAAATGTACCAAGCCACATGACTAAACATAAATAAGAATTTTGGGTCAAATTAAGTTGTAAGAGCTAGTTAATAATAAGCCTGAGATAATAGGCCAAAGAGATTATAATTAATATATGTTTTTGTGTCTTTACTGGGGATTATATGTCTATGGGACTGGGATGGACAGAAACTTCTGTCTACAGATGAGATTGGTGAGGAGCTTCTGCTGAATCCGGCCCAAACATCTTGGGAATCATCACCTTTATTTCTCTGTAAAAACTCTTGGTGCCATGGTAACTATGTTATATATGCTTTGAAACACACCCCTTTGTTTGTTTTATGCCACCATTCTTTCCATGTTGACAACTCCCAAAGCCTTTATTGTCAGACATCAGCAGCTCTAGAGAGCTAGATAAAAAGGCATCCACAGAAAGGAAGGCTTGTATTTTCCTTCTACTCTCCCAGGTAGAGAAGAAGTTAGCTATCCAGTCTTGTGAAGAAAGGAGTGAGGCAAAGGGACAGTGATGACGCTGTGAATGCAAAAGGGATGGCAAACCATAGATCCTTGTACACTTTGATTTCTGAATGCCCAATCTGAAAGTTTAAGATTAAGAGACACACTGTGAAGAGTGTTCATGTGAAAACAGATGCTTATATTGTAGCTTATCTGAAGCTAGTGGCCTTACCTACGAAATTTAGTTTTTAAATCCAGCTTCTAATATACTTGATAGCATTAAATGGATAATAAACACACACTGATTTTTTTCTTTGAATGAATATAAAGAGTTTATTCGGTGCGTATTTGGGTATACAACAACAAATATTAAACAACTTTTTAAACTTTTTGTGCACAGGGCAGAAAACTGCCTGTACATGCTATGTCCACTTTTGGAACACAGATTTTAAACAATTATTGATGCACAAATCTTACATATCATGCAACTCTATGCCAAGATTCCAACTTTCTTCCATGCAACAGATATGAAGATCTAAATGGAAACCTAGCTACGTCTTAAACACTTTTCCAGTAGCAAGTATAATATATGTTGTTTAGGGGGAACCAGTCTCAACATTACCTTGTACATAATACAATGGTCACGTGCCAAGTACGAGAACAGAAGGACTTGTACCTGTACAGATGATACAGTTCTTATTTGAACAACACAAGAGACAACACCACTGTTCCACAGTTCCTGTCTTTACACAAGAAGCCACAACGATAGATAAACATGATACACGAATGGAATTAAGAGTAATCTACACTTGAGGATAATCCCGTTTCAATTTATCTATACTGACTGGGATTGACGATACAACTCAATTTCTACGCACAAACTACAGCACAAGAACTTGACCAGAATACTACAGTTCTAATTAACAGCAAAAATAGAGAAAAAGAGAGATAAAGGGAGAAGGGGGTAGGGATAAAGGTGGAGAGGGAGAGAGAAAACAACCCATGATAATACTGCTACCTTAAGCCTGCTATGCCAATTCAGATTTAACCTTGAATTTGGTTGTTTTGGATTAAGTGAAAGAGTGGATAGAACCACAGAATTTCAGAAATCATACAGTTTCACTATATTAAAGAGTACACTTGAATCAATCATAGATAGAAAACATGAAGCCAAGAAAACAACACAGTTCACAGAATTCGTTTGCTCCTACAAAACATTTAAGAAGTTAATTTTATTTTATTTTTTTAAAGAATAGTTGTGGTCTTTCAAATTTTCTTAGTTGGGAAGCAAATTGACCGGCACTGGTGCTGTGAAATATTTTTGCTGTTATCTCCAAAGTATAGGTGAGATCATATTTGGCAGTCCTTCTTCCAGATTTAGTTCATTGATAATGCTTGGCATTCTTTTGCACAAGCGGACTCTAAATTATGGGGCTTTAGTATGGATGATAACAAGGTCTAATGGCAGATAGAATAGGGAACTCTGCCTGTGTGTTTGTTAAAACTTAATGAGAAGATTGAACTTTTGGATGAAGGACTGCTAGAAGAATTCAACAGCACCTGGACATAAGGTTCTGTTATGGAGCCCTCGTTTTACCCTCACTGACTACGTTGATTCATTGTGGCTCATGGATTTGCCTCCATTCAGCACACCGGAGACGCTTCTGCTCTTGGTTGGGGTCCCACTTCCAGATCGGGAGAACTCCGTGAGATCGTGCAGAGACGGCTCCTTATACATGGCCACTGAAAAGCACAGAGATGGTGGAAAAGGCCTTTTATGTATTTCACTGTTCCAAATTTCTAAAATAGATCTGTAGTTTACATTTTAAAACTTCTAAGTACAGGGGCAAAGCTCATGTTCATCATCTCAACTTAGTCATTCTGCAATATATATATATTCTGCAATATGTATATGTATATATATATATATCAAAAACAATAAACAACTTTGTATTATCAAAAGATTTAATTTTGATCATCGAAAAGGAACAAACACAAATATTTTATTTTGTTACTAAGTTTCTATGTCTTAACTTAAACATACAAGTACTTAGCAGTGTGGATGAGATTAAATTAAATGAATTCTAATCCGCATATAGTCATACATAAAGGATTTTAATACCTAATTTCTATCACTTACAGTTTTATATGCAGGGAATAATGAAAACACATTTAATAAAGCTCTCAGATATTTAAATATAATCTATAACACACTGAGAAAGTGTAATAGTAAAATTTTACGATTTTAAAACATTGATTTCTATTATACTTTAAATGAAACTCTCTAAGATTAAAAGTATTAGTATAATTCTTAGAAAAATAAATGATAACAATTATTATTGCTGGGCTATACATCACAGTACTAGTGTATACCTGTGAAGTACATGCATCACCTTGTAAGAATACTATGATATAGAAACTCATTTTTTTATTAGAGATAGATTCTGATTGTAGCCTAGGATGCTCTGGTATCACTAAGTAGCCCAGTGAATTCTCTTACTTACATTTTACCGATAATCATGAGGCACATGTAGAAAAGGACTATTTCAAAATCATTCAGTTAATATTGGGGCATAGTTACAAATGCTGATATTTTTGCACTTTGGAGGTTTAGGAAGGAAGATCATGAATTTGAGGCCAATTGGGAGGAGAAAGAAAGCCCAGTTATATAGGTGAGACTTCATTTCAAACAAACAAACAAACAAACACAAATACAGTCCCATCTCCCTGATATTGAAAATGAAGCTAAAACCTGAACTTGGATATTCTGGCCCAGCATATGAGTTGTAAAACACAATGTAATACTTATTTCAATAAGTGTGAATATGTGTGGGGGTAAGGGGATCACTACTACTTTAAGCCTCTACTGTAATCTCATGTGGGTAATTTCTTCTATTTTGTTTGTATTTTCTGTCTCGTGTCTATGACTTCCCCTCTGATATTGCTATTACCAATTTTATCTTTATATCTGTTTTGGCTAGGTTTGTCTTATCCTGACACAAGCTAGAGTTATTTGGGAAGAGAGAACCTTAATTAAGAAAATGCCCCCAGGAGACTGAACAATAAGCTTGCTTATGACATTCTTGATTGATGCAAGAGGGCCTATGTGTGGGTGGTTCCACCACTGAGCTGACAATACTGGGTGCTGTAAGGAAGCAGGCTGAACAAGTCACGAAACAGCATTTCTCTATGACCTTCGCTTTAGTCCTTGCCTCTATGTTCCCGCCTTTTATGATGTCCTGTGGTGTGGAGTGGAAGTGAAATAAACCCTTTCTTGCCCAAGTTGCTTTTGGTAATAGTGTTTTATCTCAGCAAATAGTAACCCTAACTAAAAAAGAAATTGATATCAGATCATGAGGTATTGCTGTGACAGACCCGAGCATGTGTTAGGGAAGACCGTGAACTTTGGGATGTTGGACTGGAAAAGCCATTGATTGTTCAAAATGTAGGGAGCTGTTGTGAAAACAAAGAATATAGAACAGTGCAGATAATGGAAGCCTGGCTTATTAAGTTTCAGAGGGATTTTTGAGTGTACGTTAAAGATTCTATGTACCTACTTGATATGTTAAATGAAGACCCACCAATGTAAAACTTTTGCTTTGTTGGGGCAATTGATACCTGTCAGATGGGTTAATGAATATGAAGTAATTAAGAAGATACCAGCATCTGGGAAGTGTTGGCTTAGGGGCAGCACACAGAGCCACAGTTCAAAGGTGGCCAAGGCTGTACTTTTGCTGGTAGCCAAAATAGATGATGTGTGTTTACCAGGTGTTACTAGTTTTGAAGGGTTAATAGAGAGCAGATAAGATTTTGCACTTTGAGAGGTCAGGAGAGGCCATTGGTAAATTTCAGTTGATGTAGAAGTTCCAGGATTGAAGGGGTAAGTTGAGAAACATTGAGGACTGACCCCATGTGCAGGGTAAGAGTCCCTGATGAGAAGAGCTCAAAAGAACCTATTGGTGAAGGTACAGCCCAGGTGGAGTAGAAATGTGAACATTTTTGAGATGCTAGTAACATGGCATAACCATCAAGGAGAGCACCAGCTGTGGAGCAGAGCTGGCTTGAATCTAGAAGAGAAATTGTGTATGCTGTGAATAGCAAAGCTTCAAGAAGGGCTGCTCCCAAGGCAGTTTTTGAACAAAGAGCATCATAAATTGGTCCCAAACATCAAACACTAAACTTTTTACGTTGTTGAATATTTGTTTTGCTTTGATTTGATTGTGACTGTCCTATGTTTATTACTTCTTATAGTAAGAAAGTACGTAATTTGTTTTTGATTTTACAGAAGCTCACCGTTAAATGACTTTAGGTATTTTAGAAAGAGTTTGGGAATTTACAGAGACTTTAGATAGTTCAGAAATACTTTGAACTTGAAAGAGATGGTGGATGTTTTGAAGAGACTGAACTTTTAAAATGTTTGAAAATTTAAAGGCCATAGGACTTTAAAAAATACCCTGTAATACTAATATTGACATGCCATCATGGGGACAAATAAACAAGGGAAGGTTCTAGTTTTTGTGTATTTGTGTATCAAATTGATAAGTAGTCAATTGTGCTGGCTAATTTTATGTCAATTTGATACAAGTTAGAACTATTTAGGAAGAAAAGACCTCAGGGAAGAAAATTCTCCCACCAGACTGGACCGGTAAGCCTGTGGGGGCGTTTCATTGATTGACAATTGACAAGGGAGGGTCTAGACCACTTTTGACAGTACCACACTTGGCTGACGGTCTAAGTGGTATAAGAAATCAGGCCGAGCTGGAGGACCTTGGTGTTATAAGAAAGCAGGCTGGGCAAGACATAAGGAGCAAGTCAGTAAACAACATCTTTTCATGTCCTCTGCATCAGGTTCTGCCTCCAGGTCCTGTCCTGTGTGAGTTCCTGTCTTGACTTCCATATGTTTTCCCAAGTTGTCTTAGGTTATATTGTTTTACCATTGCAATAGAAACCCTGAGATCACTCTTTTATTTCTCTTAATCTGAAAAAAAAAACTGTGAAAGAAAATTCTTAAGACTATATTGACCAAGGGCTTTTCCTAGAAAGTTTAAATATGTATACATTTTAAACTCCATGGTTAATCTCTACAAGCCATTTTGGTATAATATAGGGTTCTTAGTTGCCTTTAGTTTGTAATTTAGGTACTTACTTCTAATAAAGGTGTTACTATGGTTAAGGTAAAATGAGAGTAGATGCCACTGTCAATGTCTGAATGTTGGCATGGCTTTTACATTTTGGACTTGATGGTTTTTAGTGCTGTAAAATGCTTGAAAATGTATGTATAGATGTCCTAATATGGAAGAATTATGTGTCACGTACAAAAGGATGAAAAGGAATTATTTAAACTAGTAATATTCATAGCAGAATCCATAGATGATCAAACTTACCTTTCAGTGGCTTGGGCAGAAAATGTGCTGCGGGCTTGTTCTTCTTCACGTGGTTGCCTTTCATGATCTCTCCTTCTTTGTTCAGACCCAGATACCACCCTCGGCCCGACTGCTGCTGACGGTACATCATCGATGAGTATGTCACATAATAATTTTCAAACACTGATTCTTTGAATTTGCATTCAGGTGTGAAATGTTCCTGCAACAAAAGTAAATAAACAAAAAAAGTCAGTATTTATAAGGGTGTGAATTTCAGGTAGAATAGATAGAAAAATACATTTTAGGAATTTAGATAATACTTTGTTAAAACTTGTATGAAGGGTATTCTATTAGAATAGGACAAATTATTACCACTGGAAAACACAAGACAACATGTAGCAATTTATGTTATTTTCTAAGAGAGCACCCAAAGTGAAAATGTGGCTGATCAGTGATTGGCACCCTGTAGTAAGCAATTTGAAGATTTGGACAAGCCACAAAAATGTATGCTGGACTAATTCAAGAGTAAAGGGATTGGAAGACAAGCATAAAGCTGTTATAGGAGTCTTGTTTCCCTTAACAATAAGTAAAAGGAAAATAAGATTTAGCTTGCATTTATTTTTATGTTATTACTCTTGTGTATGTGAGTGGTGTGTGTGATGTGTATGGCTCACATGTGGCGGTCAGAAAACAAATATGTTCATTCCTTTCACTTTCATTTACAATTTGGGGATTGAACTTAGGCTTTGTGTGCCAAGTGTCTTTGCCTGCTGAGCCATCCCACCCGAGTAATGATTTTCATAAATTCTCAGGTTATCATATAGTATGGTTATCAGTTGCCTGAATATTAAAGCAATATTAGGATGCTGGTTGCCTAGTTTTCTAAAATAGTTGTACAAAAAAGCTTAGTTTTCACCATAAGGTAAATAGAATTGATATTTTTTAGTTTATTGGATCTTAATTCAAAATAGAATTTACCTCTAACCTCATTATTTTCATAAATTAACAGTCACAAGCAAATCAATATGGTAGTAAATACTTTACAGAAATTCTGTAAATAAACGCAAGCAAATAACGCAGAGGACTTTAACCCTGGAGTTCTGGTTTTCTGTATTGGACTGTGCCATATTTTCTTTAGAATGGGTTTATAACCATAGTAGATTGTTTGAAGGACAAAAATCAGCCTTCTTTTTAGATTTGGTGTATATATGCACATATACATGGAATACACACACACACACACACACACACACACACACACATATATATATATATATTTTTTTATTTCTAAGCTAAATAAAACAGTATATTTTAACCTATAAGAAAATTTATAGAGTAGCAGAATGGTCATTGGAGTGGAAAATAACAAGGAAAATAAAGTAGATACTAACGATGTTATCAGATCTTTCCCCTAATTTGCTGAGATGTTAGCAGGAACAACAGTTGATAATTTTGTCCAGTGTTTACAAAGCCTTGTTGTGCATGCCTTCTAGGATACTGGTCTTTTTAAAGCAATGTCTCTGTGTTTCTTCTTTCCTTCATTTTCACATTTAATATCATGCTCAGTATATACACCAGCTGAGCAACAAGATTTGAAATGTTCTAAAAATTACTTTAGTGAAGGGGAACACATTTCTCAGCATTTTTCTGAAAGGGAAGCTTGCAACCAATTTTCTTTTCTTTTTTATTAAACCCTACCTCATTCAGTACTATGTCTGATGTCCCTATTTGCTCTGCACAATGTACTTGGTCAAGTATATTTGGGGGTTATTCCATTCAGTCTAGGAATACACCATAGATCTTCCAGGATTCACACAAATTCAACCTACTAAAGCAGAAATGTACTTCTGGGGCAACTGTCACATGGGAGAAACTTAAAGGAGTTCTATTTGTGGGTTCTGAAAATTTCTGTTTTGTGGGATTTTTCAACACAGCGAAAGTCGAAGTTTCTCTAGTGATGAGGAAAATATCTGGAGTTCTTGGGAATTAAATCATCACTTGGATAAAATATTCTTCCTTGGAAAGTAGATTTTCCTTTCATAAAATGTCAGAAATAATTTGCTGGTAAATCTGTTGAGTGCTACAGATGATCAAGTTAGTTGACACTCTTCAACCACTGGCCCAGAGGATCCCACTACTCAGAGGAAACTCCAACAGAGGCCCTCTGAAATGCCTACCCAGTCCTGCAGTTATTCAGTCCCAAAGAAACACACAGAAGCCTACATTGATTATAAACTGGTTGACCTATTAGCTCAAGCTTCTTATTAACTAATTCTTACATCTTAAATAATTCTTGTCTGTGTTTGTCACGTGGCTTGGTAGCTTTCATCAGTGAAGCCTTATCATCTTGCTTCCTCTGTATCTGGGTTACAACTGAAGACTGAACCTTTCCTCTTCCTAGAATTCTCCTATTCTGGTTGCCTCTACTTCCTGCCTGGTCACCCCACCTATACTTCCTGCCTGGCTACTGGACAATAAGTATTTTATTAGAACAATATAAGTGACACAGTACAAGACCATTGTCCCACAGCAAACCACATGGGAAAATATTCCTGACTACAGAATGAGTAGATGGGACCAAAATGTGTCCTAAGTCTCCCAAACATACCGTGCCGTGCGATTATGTGTGATATCAGTAATTATTCATTAATTTCATATACATTTTCAGATGGACTATTACATATCTGAATGACACTAAAAAATTCAGTGATAATTAATACATACTCTTCTCCATATCTGAAGAGATCAGGCAAATGACTAGCACACAAGATGTATGTACTGCCAGAAATACAGAAAGAATGTTCAGAAAAAATATATATTGTCTGAGAAGAGAGGAAAAAGTAAGACCTAATTCTGACAGGGACACTAAGGACAGTTTCATAGACAGAAGAGATCATTATATTTGAGTCTTGAAGCATGGGAAAGAATTTAACTCAGAAATAAAGAATAATGGTTGAAGCACAGGTCAACACTTATCCCATCCTCAACTTACCCTTCCACTCTTCTTTTATTATCTGGAATCTACCAAGTTGCAGCTTCTCACACTTAAATCCAGGGAATATGTGCATTCATATGCTTTCTACTTCATGTTCCCATAGCCATCAGCTTGCATACTTATGGCAAGTAGATGACTTTAGGACCTCTTCAACAGGATCTCATAATTGGTCTACCTTATTCTCCTTATGTATTTGTTTACTTAAAGTAAGGTCCCCTTCCTCATAAACTCTGGATGATTTCACCTCGCATATAATAAAAGCAACAAATGACTGGTTGTTTCCTATTCAGTCGCCACCATTCTTGGTCCTCCATGGCTTTCCAAATGCCATTTACTTTTTTAGTAATTCATCCTTCTTTTTTCTGTCTCCTAGTTTTCTCCTGATCCCTCAAGATCTACTTTAAATATAATTCCTCTTTGGATCACATGTGATTTCTTCTAATCAGAACTGATTAAATCTATATCGACACACAGAGGCTCTACCTAGATCACTGGCATGGTACCCATGCATGGGAGATAAGCACTTGTATTTCAGAATCTATCCTTCTGTATCCCCCAAGCTCAGGGTAGACCAGTTGAATAGTATGAATGTTGGATTGCAGTGATGGAGACTAAATACTGAAAATTACATGACTTATTAGAGTATCAGCTTCCAAAACGTCTCCAGGGAATTTCCTTTATATCATAGAATAAATTCAGTTATATTTATAAGGACGTTGTCATTGCATGGACAGATCTTGCATGAGTGATTTAACAGCTGTTAAGAATAATGTGGCACCTACAACGTTAAGAGGAAGTCTTGGCAATTGTTACAACTATCGGAAAATGGCAAGGAAGGACTCAATGAACTGAATGCTCTGTCACATCCTGACAATTTCTTAGTCATCCCTACTAAATTTGGACTCAAAAGCTCAGCAGAGAAGAAAATGAGGCCAAAAACGAGAAGGAAAAAAAAAACACGTTGAAGCAACCAAAGGAGTGTTCTGTTCTCTGTGTGTGACACTGTCATTTTTATCCTGTGTTTGAATGAGTATCCAGAAGAGGCTTGATTCTATTAAAATGTGGAAACATTTAGCATCCCATTTTATGCAGAAGAGTCCAACAAAGAAGCTATGGGTGCAATTGCATCTCTTCAGTACATATAAGCAATATCAATAATGGAAATTGTATTTGGCCCAAGCCAAGAAAGTCCTATTTTGAAAAGGACATCAAGGAACAAATTTACTTTGATTGGTTGTAGATGCCTCCACACTGGTTCCCTGAGAGAAGGTACCAAAGTGAACACAAAAGAGGCACTGAATGAAGGCAGCAATAGCTGTGCCCTATATTTAAAAGGCAGTAGATAAATAAATATCTCCTATCAGAAGGGGCATATGAGTCACAAATTCCTTGCATAGTTCCTATGAAATTACTTAATAAACTTATAACTTTTTTTTTCAAGACATGGTTTCTCTGTAGTTTTGGGGTCCATCCTGGAACTAGCTCTTAAGACCAAATTGCCTTGAACTCACGGAGATCTGCCTGCCTCTATCTTCTGAGTGCTGGGATTAAAGGTGTGCACCATGATTGCCCACTAATAACTTTTAATGCATTAATTTCTCTTAAATGTTGTTCACCTCTCATGGCTCATACACATTTTCCAGAAAATAATATTTAGTTCATGAAATAATCTGTCTCAAAGACCTTCTCTGTTGTTGATTTGTATTTTATTCCTTTACAAGTTCAAGATTTGTTTCTTTTTGGTGACTATTAAACTTCTTATCTATATGTAGCTCATACTAGCTAGTTATTATCATATTTTGGCCAACAAATGAGGGATTGAAGTTTAGAGAATACACAGATCCAAGAGTAATATCTAACAGTTCTTTTTCCAAACCCACTTTACTCATATTATTCAGAAGTAAATAATTATTTGGAGGTTAAAATAGCAAATATGAATAAATCATTTTAAAACCCTAATACATCAATAGAACATACTAGAGAATTCTTTCAGCCAAGGATACTAAGGGTCAGTTGCTCCTATCATGGCAGATAAGGTCTCAATATAGACATTTTAAGTCACAATGGGTAATACTGGATTCATATACAAATAAGCACAAGATTTAATGGTGTGCCAGAAACATTGTCCCAAAACACAGAACTTGAGACTAGTATAAATTGTTATTCTCTTTTAGAGTCTACAGATGTAGCTCTGCCCTGTGTTGCTTCAATCACAGTGGTAAAGT